CACAAACACCAGAAAAGTGTAAAAAAGGCCTGGTCACAAATGTACAACATCGCAAAAACAGTCCAGTCCTTAAGGGATTAACATAGAAACCATGGGTCATTGCCCCATACACCGCCCTCTCATCCGTATCCTTCAGTTAATATACAAGGCAATGATCCCCATATAAATAACACATAATATATATATATATAAATAAAACATTCTTCCAACATCATTTCAACATGAACATAATTAACCATGGCAGGGGTATACCTGGATACCACTACCCCACCAGGTTCTGAGCCACTGACAGGACTCGAAACCTACCAATTTACCAATCAAAAATTTTTTTCAATTTCCATCAATCTTCCTAATGGTGAGCCTATTTCCTCTCCTTCAGCTCCCTATCCCGCCGCTGTGATAAAACGGGATAACCCACTTAACCAACAAAAATCCCAGGGAGGGTGGGTGGGACAAACTTAGCCAGGTAGGTAATTAAAAGTGACTGATTCCAAAATGGCTGCTTATTTAAATAGCCAAACCCCCTACCCACAACCCACCAGTCCTAGCCGCTTCCTCCTAAGCCCACCTCCTAACCCCTGTCAAGGCCCTTTTCCGCTAAGCTGCACTTTGGCTATATGGGGCTACATGACCGGTGTATAGTCGTCATATGGGCAGTCGGAACCTTGGACAAAAAACCCCCACATACCTTCCCCAATAAAACACTGGCTCTAGGGTATATGGGTCAAATTGTCCACAGCTTTTATTAAATAATTATTATATTATTTATATATATATATATATATATATATATATATATTGATAACCATACTACTACTATAATAATAATAACTTAACATAGAAAACATGGGTCATTGCCCCATACACCGCCCTATAAAACATTTTTCCAACATCATTTCAACATGAACATAACTTAAAGTGCCAAACATAATTAACCATGGCAGGGGTATACCCGGATACCCCTACCCACACCAAACATACTTTAACCATGGCAGGGGTATACCTGGATACCCCTACCCCACCAGGTTCTGAGCCACCGACTTACCAATCACCACAATTTTTCAATTTACATCAATCTTCCTAATGGGGAGCCTATTTCCTCTCCGTCAACTCCCTATCCCGCCACAAGCTCAGACCTTGAACCCTTAAGCCGCCTGAACTCCCCACCCCAAGGAAACAGTGCCTTCTGCAGCCATTCCTGCCAATCCAGAGCCCGGAGGGGTGAACTCTGTCCTCGTGAAAACAACGGGGCAACCCCAGTCCCAATCACAATGCCTCGCCACCATGCCGCCCGCGTTCCGAACAAAAAAGCTACCCACCATTCAGGGAACCGTCCCCGACCACCACCAACGTCCCGGGAAGCAGGCCTCCCAATCCTGTAACCCCTTACCACATCCGTCTTGCCAGCCGACGCTGCGGTACCGGACCCAGATCTCACCCCCGCATGTGGGACAAGAAAATAGGGCCTACTCCACGCCCGAGCCTCCGAAACACAGTGTGACACACATCCCCCATTGGCACCCCGTAAGCAATCACTGAGTCGCTACCGGTCCACCGTAAAGCCCAGCTGCTGACCCTCACCTCTAGCTGCAGCCATCCTCCTGGCCGAGAGAATGACGAATAACCAAGTATTCATGCAAAGTTTGCCTGGTGAGACAAACCGACATTAACCCTGGCCCCCAGTGACCCCCCAACTCACTCGAACTGTTCCCAAACATACGTCCAAGCGGGAGCTCAATGGCTGCCATCACCCTAGACCAAGGCGCCCCCCAGGCCGTACCGTGTCGTTTCTGAAACCGCCCCAAAGCGGAAGGATAGCGACCTCAACTTACCCGTTCGAAACCTCAGGCTCGCCAAGCCTAACGCAAAGTAACCGAAAGCGAGACTGGGAAGAACCATCCAGCAAGCACCAAGAAACCCCCCCCCGCCAACTGACGGACCCCCTGCCAGAAACTGCAGCGCCGTGGCAGCTGCAGCCAGCGCTGAACCTGGGAGTTCACCCAGCATCGCGTCCATGCCCCAACCCCCGATATTGGTCGCGGAATAGACCAAACGACGAACGAGGTGCCCCCGGCATGCACACGTCAGACGCCCTAACACCCCCTATTAACCCCCGAACAGATTTCACCT